CACGGGGGTAGGGCGGGGCCACAATAGGGAATCCAAGTTTTACATAGAAATATATAGAACAAATCTTTAAAAATCTTCTTCTCAAGAACCACTGGGCCAGGAAAGCTGAAACTTATGTGGAAGCATCCTTGGGTAGTGTAGATATTAAATTGTTAAAATCATGACCCCCGGGGGTAGGGCAGGGCCACAATAGGGAATCCAAGTTTTACATAGAAATATATAGAACAAATCTTTAAAAATCTTCTTCTCAAGAACCACTGGGCCAGGAAAGCTGAAACTTATGTGGAAGCATCCTTGGGTAGTGTAGATATTAAATTGTTAAAATCATGACCCCCGGGGGTAGGGCGGGGCCACAATAGGGAATCCAAGTTTTACATAGAAATATATAGAACAAATCTTTAAAAATCTTCTTCTCAAGAACCACTGGGCCAGGAAAGCTGAAACTTATGTGGAAGCATTCTTGGGTAGTGTAGATATTAAATTGTTAAAATCATGACTCCCGGGGGTAGGGCGGGGCCACAATAGGGAATCCAAGTTTTACATAGAAATATATAGAACAAATCTTTAAAAATCTTCTTCTCAAGAACCACTGGGCCAGGAAAGCTGAAACTTATGTGGAAGCATCCTTGGGTAGTGTAGATTCTAAAGTTTTTAAATAAAAAAGGGAAAGGGGTTGTTGGGCATGATAGGTATAGCAAGAGGGGGAATCTGGTATAGATCTGCATCACCCAAGTTACTCAGGTGAGCGATGTGGCCCATGGGCCTCTTGTTAGAAGTGTTTTTTATTTCCCGCTTTTTTCTTGACTAAAAATTGCTTGTCTTTTAATTGTTCTTATTTAATGTTCCTGGCCTTTTCATCTTTTAGCCATATTTGTATTCCTGACTTTTTTCCTTTGTAGCGGTGTTTATGTTCCTGGCCTGTGTTATCTTTCCCAGTGGTTGGAGCCAGAAGGAGGTTCAGGATATCTGCGGGACCTCGTCTGGGGAGTATCGGTTGGGATCCTGTAACATTCGCTGGGCCTACATCCTCGCCATTCTGGGAATTTTTGATGCTGCTATTCTATCTGTCCTGTCATTTTTCCTTGCTGCCAAGCGAGCTAAGCTGGATTATCTAACTCCTACTGGAGCTGTAACCAAATGTGAGTAGCTCACAATTTTAAGCTCACCTTGGTTTTGATGCCTATAATTTATTTAATGCAAACTCATATAATTATGTACATGTACAACACTATTGAATGTTATAAAGCCATTGAAACTTGATGTGTATTGAAAAGAACAGTTTGAAATATTAATTCACAAAAGAACTTGATGAATTCTTTTTTTAATTTTATTAATTAATTTAACCAATTTTATTAGTTCTAATTTTATTAAAGTATGAGAAAATGATCCATTTTGTTCTCTTAATAATGTACGTGTGTATGCTACATGTATTTCACAGGCAAATAATTTCAGTTTTATATTTTTGTAAAGTGCAGAAATTTTTACATAAAATATACATTAATGTTAGATGACATATCAGAGAAAATTTTGATATGAATAAGTTTTTATTTTTCATTTCATGTTTGTCGCACTATAGGCACTTTGCCCGCCTTGTCCACCCATCTTCTTTGGAGTCATTTTTAAGTAGAAATTTATTTCTTTGAGTCATTCAGTTCCTCTGACAATAATTTTCTGTTTTATGAAGGAGATGAATCAAAGGTAGTGTTTGTACGTACTAAATCATATTCAAACCCAATCATTGGCGGATAAAAGCCCTCTACATTTAATTAAAGAAATAATTTGATTTGAGCTTTGAAGATCAATTGCTATTTATTATTTGAAAAAAAATGAGGTGGTTAAGAATTTACTTAGAAATGAAGGAAAAAATTGGTACCTATACACATATAGCAGGTATATTTGGTTCAATGAGAGAAATGTTTTTATTAATTGACCAATATCTTTTCCCCACAGCTGACCTGAATGGATACTCAGCTGAAACCATGTCCAAGCGCTCCATGCCCATTCAGCCGGTGGTGACCGTTCCAGAAGAGCGAGTCGCAGCGTACTCCGAGTACTCGCAATCCACCAAACGTCAGGGGGCCTCAAACTTTCAGCTGTAGATAGACCAGTCTCAGAGGCCTCGACTGGAGCGATCAGAACTACACAAAAATAGGGTATCCACAACAAGTCAGAACTCTCCAAATATGTTTTCTTATAAGATAATATTTAATGTTATAGACTTATAGTTTTGGTGACATTCTTAATTGTACCTTGTATTCAAAGAAATTGTTGAAATGTTCTTATCTGTATTTGGACACTGTTAATTTTGTCGTTTTTGAACACAATTTTCTCATTTTTGTAATTTTTTTGTCCCTGTTTTTGCTGTATTTTTTGCTTCCAATTGCCTTCAATGGGTGCCCAGTTTGAGATGTTCAGCGATTTTTCCCCCCTCTGAACAATTCACCAAAGTAGTGCTACAAGTTTGAAAGCATGATATTTGATGGTAGTATTATATGATAACTCATTTTGTTTAGTGATTTTAAAATTTCATACACATTTTGTACTTGTCTATTTTCAGAAGGGCATTTTGGACAGTTTTCATAGATTATAATAAAATAGTTAAAGACACAACAAATTACATTGTATCTAAAATAATTCCATAAAATTACTTTTTTGTAAAGAAACAAATCACTAAATAAAATTGTCAGCAATTTAGTAAAAAGATTCAGTATTTGAGATTTTATAATGAGATTGCTACATATAAGCAAACCAGTATAATAATATATAACCTATAATTTTTATGACTTAAATTGAGAACGTTTTCCTTAACATTTATTATTGTACACTGAAAATTTACCCTATCTTCCTAATTTGTACATTTATATATATACATGTATTATTCACTTAGATGCTGTTCTTTTTCATAATTAATCATGTGAATTGTATATTGCATAATACTCTTTTGTTCCTTTTATATATATACATTCTCTTATCATGAGATTTTTCAAGTATGTTATACAAAATAGTGATTATATTTTTGCATTCAAATTAATGTCTCCATGGATACTGATAAAAACATGAATTATGATACTGTTCTCTCATGACTACTCACAGTGAACTAGAAGTTGATACTGTATAGATGTGTTTAGAAAGGTGATATTTTTTTAGGATATTATGAATTCAGTAAAGATATTTGCAATGAAGCTATTTTGGACTAATAAAATGCAAAATATAGTATAAATGATAGAACTTTGTTTTAATTTTTACTTGTGTTTCTAAAACACTGATACCAAAGTACGACAGCTTTGGCAAAGGTCAAATTTTCTCGAATGCAAGTCAAACTGGACCAAGGTCAAGGGATGATACATGTATCTAATATTGTTACCCAAAGAAAGGAATTGTCTCGATGAAAATACCTTTGAAATATGAAAGCTCAAATTAAAGCACTTTCCATTCAAAGCTTTTGGCAAGGTCAACGGTTTTAAAATGTGGGTAAACTAATATGTCAAGGTCAAAAGGTCTAATTAGACTAACTACATGTATTAAGCTTTGTCATACACACATGTAGAATATAAAAGCTCTAATAACAACTATTCAAAAATTAAGGCCAATGTTTCAGATTTTCAAAGTGTCAAAATCCAAGGTCAAGATCAATATTTTTGGTATCAAAAGGAATTCCTTCAAGTGTCACCTGGAATATATTTGTAACCTATGAAGGCCATAGTATTGAATGTTTAAAAGTTTTGTACAAGTTTAAAAATTTTTAAAAGTGGTTCAAACTCAAAGGTCAAGGTAAAAATGTCACAAATATTTATTTTCATGGACATGTCTTCTCACAATAAATACATTAAGAAGATTTGGAGATAAACAGATTGAACATCATAATTATACCCCCTGCAAACGAAGTAGTCTGGGGGATATATAGGAATCAGCTTGTCCATCTGTCCATCTGTCTGTGCAAACATGTCCGGTCCATATCTTTCTTATGGAGGAACATTAGAATCTACTACTACACACAAAGATTGCTCATAAACTAAGGGTGTGTCATGACCTTGACCTAAGGTCATTTGGGGAAGTTCAAGGTCACTGGAAGAAGAATTTTATAATTCATGTTTGGTACATATCTTTATTATGAAAAAACTTGAATCTACTTCTTCACACAAAGATGGCTTATAACCTGAGGGTGTGTTAAGACCTTGAGGCAAGGTCATTTAAGTTCAGGGTCACTGAAAGAAAAAAATCATAATTTGTGTAGAGTGCATATCTTGCTTATGGATAAACTTGATAAAGTTCCTATTTCACACAAAGATTTCTCATGACATAAGGGTGTGTCATGACCTTGATGCAAGGTGATCTATGCAAGTTCAAGGTCATTGAAAGAAAAAGTTCATAATTCATGTTTGGTACATATCCTTCTTATGGATAAACTAGGTAAGTTCCTGTTTTACACAAAAATTGCTTATGTCTTGAGGGTGTTTCATGACCTTGACCCAAGGTCATTTATGCAGGTATAGGGTCACTGAAAGGAAAAAGTTAATAATTTGTGCCTGGTCCATACCTTTTTTTTTTGGATAAAATTAGAGGGTTCCTCATTTACATAAAGATTGCTTATGGCCTGAGGGTGTCTCATGACTTTGATCCAAGGTCATCTGTGCAAGTTCAAGGACACAGACAGAAAAAAAAATCATAATTTATGTCTGGTTCATATCTGTCTCATGGATAAACGTGGTGAGTTCCAAATCTTCTCTCTTCTCTTACATGTAGATCAATAAAATATTCATCATGATTTGGCACCTTTGAAATCCCAGCAGGGGATATTTTGTCCTCTTTGGAAAGTTCTAGTTATAACTCATTTTTAGCTCACCTGAGCCAAAGGCTCAAGTGAGCTTTTTTGATCACATTTTGTCCGTCGTCCGTCTGTCTAATTGTTTGTTCATTTGTCTGTCTGTTAACATTTTTGACTTCTTCTGAAGAACCACTGGGCCAATTTTAACCAAACTTAGTACAAAGCATTCTTAGGTAAAGGGAAGTTTAAATTATTAAAATAAAGGGCAAAGACCCCTCACAAGGGGAGATAATCAAAAAACAAAAAACAAAAATAGGGTGGAGTCATTAAAAAATCTTCTTCTCAAGAACCACTGGGCCAGAAAAGCTGAAACTTAATTAATATGTGGAAGCGTCCTGGTATAGTGTAGATTCTAAATTGTTCAAATCATGACCCCCGTGGGTTGGCCGGGGCCACAATAGGGAATCCAAGTTTTACATAGAAATATATAGGGAAAAAAAACTTTCAAAATCTTCTTCTCAAGAACCAGTGGGCCAGAAAAACTGAAACGTATGTGGGAGCATCCTGGGGTAGTGTAGATTCTAAATTGTTCAAATCATGACCCCCGAGGGCTAGCTAGGGTGGGGCCACAATAGGGAATCGAAGTTTTACATAGAAATATATAGGGAAAAAGTTTTAAAATCTTCTACTCAAGAACCACTGGGCCAGAAAAGCTGAAACTTATCTTGAAGTATCCTGGGGTAGTATAGATTTCAAATTGTTCAAATTGTGATCCCCCCTCCCCCCGGGGGAGGGGGGGGGGTAGGACGAGGCCATACTTTGCATTACAAGGGGGGAAATCTGGTAAAGAACAGCATCACCAATGTTACTCAGTTAAACGATGTGGCCCATGGGCCTCTTGTTTTGGAAAATGATATCTTAAGCTGTCAACGATCATTTGGCAAAGAAAAGTTTCATACATTTTAGTTTGAATATTTGATCATTTTTCTATATCTTTAATTAAATTACGCTGTGACAACGCACTTTGAAAAAAAAAATTCAAAGTGCGTAAAATTTGGGACAAAATCAACGCACTTTGAATTTTTTAAAGTGCGTTAAGTATGAGCATCAATATTTTTACTATGGGGACACTTATCTATATAAAAAAGGCCAAAATAACTATAAAAAGACCATGATATTGCACGGGAAAATTATTTTCAATGAGCATATATGTAAAAACTTGAAACCTATTTAGTGGCATTTCTCGTATCCCTAATGATCATATTTGAAAAAAAAAATAGAAAATTATAAATACAGAAAAAGGTATTAGGAAGTCATTGGTGCATTGAATTTAAGTTCTTCACAAACTGAAAGGCCATTTATGTTCTTTGTCAAAAATCAAAAAAATTAATGTCCATTTTGCTAAACTGGTGTCAGATATCATATGTCACCATCTCTGATAATCTCTCTGAAAACATTATACTTTGCACATTTTTTTTCCAAAATGCGTTGATATGGTTGATACTAACGCACTTTGAAAAGAAATAATATTTTTTCAAAGTGCGTTAACTTGGTCCCAAATTTTACGCACTTTGAAATTTTTTTTTCAAAGTGCGTATTTTTTCAAAGTGCGTTGTAACATGACGCTCTTCTACTGAAGGAATCTGAAAATGGACACACCCACACAACCCTCTAAATCTTGTAAAGAAGAAAGCCCTAGGTCAAAAGTTCTGGCCAAGGTTAAAGTTAAGTAAATTATTGCAAAATTGGATCAATCTCCAATACCAAAGTCAAGAGATCAAATTAGTTGATACCAAAAGAAATTTATTATCACATATGTGAAATATAAATAATTATGGGCAATGCTCAAGTTTTTGCGCACAAACAAAAACTAGAGGTATTGTGAGCAATGAGCTCACTAAATGATACCCCCACCCCGCCTCCAATATAAATATAATGGCAGTGTCCATGTTTGCTATGAGAAACTCAAAATATGTATCGGATCAAAAAGTAAAATAGAAGGTGCATAATAGCAATATGTAATCAAGCTTTAAGGTTCTGCAAAAGTCTCATCAAATCCGCAAGTTGCGGATAAGAGATGGGTACATGTACCCCAAAGCGTAACAGATGACTGACGGACGAACACATACAGACGGGTGGACGGACGAACATCCCGATTACTATAAACCATCCCGCTTTTCAAGCGGGGGGTATAAAGACAGAAAGACGGACGGGCACGGGAAAAACAAAGTAGTGTATTTCATTTTTAACAATTTATTTAATATTAACTAGATGTGTACAAACAGAACATATATGTCAAATATGATAAATGGTATAATAAAAATTACTTTTATGTATACTCATGTTATGAAGAAAATGCAATACATTAATTGACGCAGTAAATAGAAAAATCAAGGGATTATTATCACAATATGACTGTTTATACAGATGAAAAATTTGAAAAAATAAATGTTCCAACTGATGGATTCGAATCATGACACTAAAAATGAAGAACATCTGTAGCTTAACTCTCTGAGCTGTAACGACTGTAAAACAAATGTCATAAATATCAAAAAGTGTTAAAGAAATAGGTTTTCGCATTTTTTTTTTTACGCATTTCGACCCTAGGGTTGGCACTACTGAATTAAATATACCATAAAATTCAAAAAATTCCCTGTTCTTCCCCTGTCAGTCCCTGACATTTTCCTGTCTCTCCCTGACTTTCTCCTATGATCCCCTGTCGTTGTGCCAGCCTACCCTGTCAACTTCCTGTCAACCCTGTCGTACATGTAGTCCCTGCGTATAATGACTTCCCCCACGAAGCGATCACTCTACCACTAGGCTACCGTGAACGGTACATGTTAGAAGATTATTATAAAATATTTCAATTTAAATTTGTTTTCTCTGTGAATGCTCCTTAAAGGTTAGATAAGTTAATTTCTTGATAATTCAACCGGAATTAAAATCTTGTCAAGCGAAAGGTCAGGGGCTAAGAAGGCCTAATAGCATGTAAATCTCGTTCGACTGTTTTGTGTCTGACGTTAGTGTGTAAAGACTATTAAAATTGATATGAGAGGCCTCGTGTTAATAAATATGACAACATTTTCTTTTCAAATTTTAATTTATATATGTAATTCTATTTCAACACCGTATACAACGGGTAACGCGGGGGAGTCGCTAAAAAGTATGGGGGAGTCGTTTTCAACGTATGGGGGGATAGATGTTCACCGCTTCGGAGTCAGAAGAGATGTGGATCACGTTTTTTTCGCTATATATAAGATGTATTTACAAAAAAAAAAAAAAACAAATATCCCACGGAAGACGGTAATAGTTAAACTCTGTCTTGGTCATTTGTCCGGCTGTCATATACGTCTAGTTTTCTCAAACACTTCGAAACTATTTGACAGTTTTCATATTTACGTTGATCGGATGGTAAAAACATGCATGATTTGGACTATCTGCGGCTTGCGTAGGGA